TCTGCTGTATGGGAAACGCTGACCACCTTCTGTAAGTGCTGTGCATCGTCGCGCAGGCTCACTCTGACTGGTTTTCATCACAGCCGTACTGGCCATATTACTGCTAGTAACAACATTCGTCATCGCTTGCTTGGTGATGCACAACTTCGGTCGGGGATTGAAGGACCAGAGTACGTGATATCAAGCAATCCTCCTGAAAGTATCTCTTACGTTGTTTCCAGTCTCGAAGAATCAAGGAGCGGGAGTGCAACGCGGGAAATCATTGTATGTCCACCGTGGGCCGATGTCCACACATCCAAATCGGATGAGCATTGAATGAGACCGCACTCTCGAAACGCGCATGGACTTGTATTCTCGAATCTGTACTATTGTCACAATCACTGCCCCATTTGCATTACCACGACCACGACACGGACTTCTGCCAATCCAGTTCTTATATACACTCACTTTACTTGCCCTTCGCGTTGGCCTAGCATACCCTGCCTATTTCGCTTTATTGCCCCACCCCCACACTCGCGCGCCCATATCGCCTTCTGATTTATCCGTATCATAACTTCTTACCGGGTGTCTCGTTTGTTGCTGGAACTTCATTTCGGGCTCTCATACTATTCTTCGAGTTAGCCAGATAAATATCTGTCGTGCACCTTTTCCCTCCAACTTCTGTCGTAGGCCGCTTCGCTATCGATGCACCCATTTCTCCTGCCAGGTCTCTTACTGGCCCTGTTTCTTACCACAGAACTGTATTGTTAGACCTTCCGTAATCGCAATGCATCGGAGAGTGACCGTTCTCGATGCGAGAGCCTTCGTCGTCAGCGCTAATTACTTAGTGAGAGCGTCTGATGACCGATGGCCAAGCGGCATAAAGGTTAGGGTCGGGCGGTGCCGATAGACGCCCATTTTGTTTTCCCGCCTGGATCGTCGGGCTTGCATCTCTCTCAACACGGTCCATCCCAGCCACTAGCCTTGTCTACTTGTCCTGCACTCTGTACAACACACAGCCCTTGTACGTTTTTGGCGTTGCACACGCCCCCCAGAACACACCACCTAGCCGCCTCCTCAAGGCATGAATCACCGCAAACGACGGGCAGCCGACGAGCTCCTTCCTACCACACGGCCAACCAAGATCCCTCGCAGCAATCACACCTACCTTCGGTCTTCTCCAGAACACGCTGCTCTAATCCAGCACGAACAGTTGGGTACTCGCTGGGTGCAGCTTGCCGAAGAAATCTACACGCTTGTGGGAGATACAGCAGGCGTCATGTTCAGTGCACTCACTCGTGGCCTCGGAGGTCTTTTCTCGCAGACAAGCTCAGAACAAGGTGCGTACCGTAGCTATATGTCGAGTTCTAGCTATTGAACATGATTATAATTGGCCAGCTGAGGCCGACGCGACGTCAGCGGAGTCGCAAGCCTCCGTTTCACCCCCTTCCTCATCACCCTCCGTAGTATGCATCTCCCCACCCAAGCAGCCTGTCGCTCTACCATCCCCTTTACCCCCTCCTCCCCGAAGAAAATCTTCGCAAGAGAACGCGATCGCGTCATCTTCGTCACAACAGAAGCAGTGGCCAGCGACCAGCAGAGGGAATATCCCACAGACAGGTCTTCTAACCCCATCCTCGAGTCAGACGTCGTCCGGCTCCTCATCGACGTCTTTCTTAGGGCTGCATCCAGACGTGTGTAATAATACGCGTGTACGAGCCGCGATGCACGAGGTTGCCAAAAGACAGTTCATCCCTGGGCGGAATCAGAAGCCCAGACGAAGACATATATTCGATGAACAGGTTCGGATATTGATCTCAGTTATTCATTCGCGTGTACTCATAATCGCTCCAGCATAAGAAAGAAGTGCAAGAGGAGCGGCTTAGGACGAGGGAAGAGCAGATAGATCAGTTGTATGATATTCGGCGGCGAAGAGGAGGTATGTTGGCCAAGCGGTAGTCTATTGATATTTCTCACAGCTTATTCTTCGACCAGAATTCAACTCCAACAGAGATGCATTCCGAAGTACGAATATTGACTGATCAGTTATAACATCTCGCTGACATCTCTGTAGGCTGGCTCGACTATAGAGCGCATTTGGAGAGAATATCACGGATAGAGGCTCTGGAGGGTGCGTGTAGTCTCTTCTATTGATCTTCAGTCACTCATCTATACGTGCGCAGCCTCACCTTCTCTCGTTAACCTCCACGAACCAGCTCCATTCCCCGAGCTGACTCGCAGTCAAACCGTCCCTGTGAGTCCCCCTATGCTTCGAAGCGCCATCCTATCTAAAACTGTGGGTAGGTTGCACAAGCAAGCGACGGTTTCATACAGAGAGCTTTGCAAAATGCCAAACAGACTCTGAAGAGGTTTGTACGCCTGTCTTCTCCTGAGTACCCCTAACTCACCCCTATCCAGTAAACCTCCCCCTTCATTCAGCCCCTCACTGGATAGGCTACGCCTTAACAAGCTCATTAAGTCACAGCAAGTTGAAGACCGTCTGCGACCGAAGAAAAAGCCCCTACCCACTTCGCTACCTGCTAACGAAGAGGCCGAAGTTGACGATCTCCTTCATAAGCGTGGCGTCATATCAAAGTGCGCCAGGGAACAAGTGTCTGACAAGGACTTGCAACGATTAAGGCCTGGTCAGTGGCTGAATGACGAGGTCATCAACTTCTACGGGCAGATGATTCTGTCGAGAAGTGAACTGTCCAATGCCAAGTCGAATAAGGAGAACAACAGTCAAAGCAGTAAACCGCTGAACGTGCACTACTTCAATACATTCTTCTGGTCGAAGTTGACTGGCGAAGGTTATGAGAGAGCAAGGCTCGCAAAGTGGACGAAGAGGGTATGTGTTGTACTCTCACATACGACACGCAATGCTGACTCTGCCTAGATTGATATCTTCTCGAAGGACATAATCCTAATCCCTGTGAACCACGGCAATGCCCACTGGACCGGCGCCGCAATCAACTTCCGTCAGAAGAGGATTGAATCCTATGATAGTATGGGAATGGCTCGACAGAATGTATACAAGGTATATGGAGATCTGGTTTCCTGAGAACTCGACTTCTCACAGCCTTTTCCCATATATATAGGCGCTTCGAGGATATCTCGACGCTGAGCACAAGGACAAAAAGAAGAAGCCGTTTGACTTCACTGGTTGGGAGGACTATACCCTTGAGGTACTGTCTGTTCAGCTATCATTACCCACCCAGGTACTGAAGAATCGCATTGTAGGACACTCCTCAGCAAGAAAACGGCTACGATTGTGGCGTTTTCACATGCCAGTTCCTCGAGACTCTGTCGCGCGGAGAGGACAGCTTCGCCTTCTCGCAGTCCAATATGACATATCTGCGCAGACGGATGATCTGGGAAATCGGGCATGCTAAACTCCGGGACGACACATAGCGCTTTGCTTATCCTCCCTCTGCCCTCCGGGTATTCCTTTGGACTCATCTATTGTCCGCTTCCGGATTCCACACGCACATCTATTTTATTCCTTACTTCATTCGCCGTAGTTATTCTTGTGTATATTTGTTTCTTGTTTTGTGGTGATCGTTTCATCCGTTGTTCCTAGTGTACGATTTGGCCCTTGCATGGGCCTGCCAAATTCGAGTCCGGTTGGTGTCGCGCGCAGGAATAACATTGCTTGAGAGAATATTATCGTCGAAACCACCATACAACAATGAAGAACCAGAATACTACTGCTAGGAAGACCATGTACCATAGCCATCGGCATCCTTGCTTAGAGGACATGTTGTTCATCCTGCGGAAGGTCCCTGACAGGAACCCTGACGTGTCCGCAAACGCATCGTTCTGTGAAGCCACACCTTCAGCAACAGATTCAGAGCTATATTCCATAGCCGATCACACACCATTTGTCCTGCCAGTAGTGCGGACTCGCGCACCTCGTTCCCAATCCCAATAGTGATCTACTCACAGCGCCGGTCGACGGGTCAGTGACAAACCTATATGATATCCTTTGCGACTCACGTCCTTCAGCATCTTGACTTTCGCGGTTAAGCCTTCGAGGTGTTCGTCATTCTGGCCCTCTAGGTCATCCGCAAACCGTTGTCCGCTGGGAACCTGCCCATATGGAGACGACCGCCCCGACGATGGCGGTGTGCTATAGGTCGTCGGCAGGAGAGACGCACGGTTATGAAGTGAACTAGAAGCGTGGTATCTGAGGTTTGAATGGTTTATTGTGAGATGGGATTTCATAAAGCAGCTATTTAAGTACATACCGTTGTGACATGAGTGCTACGTACTTTGCAGGAGTGGAGATGTTGTGTGCATGTGAGAGCAGTGCGAGAAGTTGAGTGTCGGTGGCGCCAGTCCGAGAACAAGTAACCGATGGGGTTCCCATAAGCGCTCCACGTACATCGTAACGTTCACTTGCGGCAGCGAAGCCCATTGCATGATTGGATGCTCATGCAAACTTTAGCTTTTATCACGCACAGTACATGATATACTACAAAGCTTGTATATAGTTGTGGCCTGAAACCTCGCTTTCAGAATGCTGAATGAATAATGGATACTCGGGGGTTAATAATATTGAATAATATATAATACATACAGTATTTGGATGGCTCAGCTGGCCAGAGCGCCCGTGCGTCCCCGGCCCGTGCTTGGATGGCTCAGTTGGTTAGAGCGCCCATCGACCGCGGCCCGTGGATGGCCCAGCTTGTTATAGCGCCCATCGTCCCCGGCCCGTGTTTGGATGGCTCAGCTGGTCAGAGCGCCCATGGCCCGTCGTATCCATCTTTAGGGCGCTTGTCTCTTGCTTGTCCATCCTGCCTTGTTGGCAAAGGTAACCACTAATATCCTTGCCTATCATGTCATCAATGTCAGCTTAGTTTTATAACTGGGAATATTTTTGAAAATTATGTAAGGATTTGTTAGCGCATCAGTCACTGCACAAGTGTAGCTATCTCATTTCTACTTTCAGGATGCTGGTTGAATGATGGATACTTGGAGGATAATTATGCTGAATACTATATAATACATGCCCTATACAAGCTTGGATGGCTCAGCTGGTTAGAGCGCCGGTCTCATAGCGCGCTTATGAGGAATGATTCATTCCGTAATCCGGAGATCACGAGTTCGATCCTCGTTCCGAGCATTTTGTTTTCTTGACTCCCAAATCCTTCCTGAAGCCAGGTACGTAGAAAACAATCTTGAGACGTTCTGTCGTCCTTTGGAGCATTAGCCTTATATGATGCAGTCACTGAGACCTGTAAATAGTGAGTGATAAGAACCATCCTTGCTGAAATCATGTCACAGCTACACAATATATTGCACGAAACAGCAGGGAGGGAACATAGTCCCTTTGGCTCGCGAACAAATAAATAGCCATCTCGCAGTCGCAACTATACAACCCGCACCTGTATCGGTGTGTTATATTGGAAAAGTCTTGCACGACAGCAGTACACGCAGTGGTCCGTACAGGACTTGAGTAAGCAGGGGTTACGATAAGAGCCTAAGTATCATCTCCAACGGAGTCGGGTCTACCGCCGAGTTTGACAGGCTCTCAACTACTCACGATGCGATGATTGTGGCGGCTGCACGAAAATCTTCAGCTATTTCACCGAACCTACTTTGAAGCTTACGGAGGTCTCGACTAGTCGGCGCACAATGTCAACGGCCTACAATATAGACATCCCTGCGGGTACCATTCTGATGTGGCGGACTTTGAGCCATTTGGCCACTGATAGTCGACGTAGACCTGCTGGGGATCCTCGCATGCGCACACTTCAAATATTGGTCAGCCTCCAAATTCCATAATTGATAGGAGGAAGCGCGTACGGAAGGCCGAGAGCTGACAACATAAAAATAGCGAAGTGTTCTCCATGCCGACTGCGGTATTAGAACGCGATTTGAGACATGCACAGTGCAGGATTCACGGACATTGAGTAGAAGTAACACAATTTCTGTAACACAAGATGTCAGTGCTAGAATCTGCCAAGCCATAATCAGTTGCTCACAGGATAAGCAAGCCGGAGTAAACAGACTCGGAGGGTCGCTTGTGCTGCGGGATCCATTCGTCTGTTTCGTACTCCCACAAAACTGAGAAGACTTGTCCTTAGATGTACTGTCCGCAGCAGCATTTGACACGGAGCTGTGGGGCTAAGTTGGAAGTGCATATCTGAAATGACTAGGTGGGGCGAGAGCGATGTTCCATCGCATAAGCCAACGTTCGCCGGCTCCTGGGATGACCTGGCTATCGAACGTCATGGAAAGAGGTGTTAGAGCGCAGTTATAGCACAAGCTTTGCACCGTGCTGTGTAAAACGATGATCTGTGTGACATTCTAACAGATCGGACATGCACGATTAAATAACACGTCGGAGGAATTGGTGACTCACAGGCGGAACAGAAGGCACCCTTTCCTGCGCGTTCGTTAGTGTATGCGGCATGCCAGAAAGTGTTACGAGCCTCGAGGTTAACACTCGTTGTATGACACGCACTAGTGGCAAGACCTGTACGCACACGACAATGTTGTGTAATAACGCGGGTTGCAACGCGTGCTGTACGCGAGTTCTTGGCAGGTCAAGGCATTTGTCTATTATTGCAACGTCGACGATGGCGTAAAAAGCTTGTTTTCGATTGAGATATGGTGTTAGAGGAACAAGGAAAGCTGCCTAATTGGGCGCGATTGAGCCGGAGCCGGGCGCTGTTCACGGACATTCACCGACTGGCACCTTACTGCTCCCATCCTCCTGACTGAGATCCCTACCACGCATATATAACCCTTACTCCTTTCCTCAATCCTCAGGTACCCCCTTTCTTCGTCCCCTCGTCATCCTCGACGCTCCCACCCATTGGGGAAGCGACTGACCTCCACAGACCTCGACCTCAATTAGCACAGTCCCTCTCGCTACAGGTATCGATACCACCATGGGCATGAGCTATCGCCGTTATCTGGCTGGTGCACGCATCTATGGCTGCTCAGAGTGCAAAACGCACCTTGCCACCATTCATTCCATGCTATCTAGGGTGCGTACAACCATCGCCATCTGCAGCCACTGTATGCGCTAACCGGCAGTCGTTACATCCATTAGGCCTTCAATGGACAGCATGGCCGTGCATATCTCTTTGAAACTGTGTACGTCGTTTCTGTCGTCACTGCTTGTATCGTGCTCTGAATAGGACTTCCATCCCTCAGTGTCAACGTTGTCGAGGGGGAACCCGTCGATCGTCAAATGACTACGGGCAATCACACCGTCCGCGATATATATTGCGTCAAGTGCGAAAGAATCCTCGGGTGGAAATACGTACGTTGACCATCCCTCGTACTTCGCTAAAGCTCACGTATTCCTCAGGATCGCGCATATGATCCTACGCAGAAGTATAAAGAGGGCAAATTCATCCTCGAGCGCAACCTGCTCGTTGATGTTCAGTGATTTACTTGCCCTCGCTCCGCTCCCCCTTGGTATCAGACACTCTCGGCCACGATAACCCGTTTATCCATTCACAGGTTCTCATACGGATCATAACCAGCTACCATCGAGTCCCTCCTCCCAAGCCTTCGCCGCTTATGCAACCCGGAACCTCGGCAGCTGCGCATCACATTAACCCATGCGCTCCTGACCCGTCTCCTACCGCTCGTCGTCAGTCGCATCCTTTCGGTTGTCATCTGTTTATACGACGCTACACTCGCTCTTGTGACCATTCTCCCCCTCGCAGGACGCGCTTTACCTTACCTCAAGACCAATACAACACGGCGAATATGCCTTGTACACTACCACACCCTCACACCTGAACCGTCCGGATGATCTGCTTCAGCCTCCTTCTTGCAGGTCACCGGACGATCAGTTCCTCCGCTCACATGACGAAGAGCCCGCCTACCCCTCGGCAGGCTGTCCTCGTGTTTCATAGCCCAGACTTCTGGCGTGTGTTTCCGCATGCGGAGGAAGCACACATTCGTGCAATCCCCCTCTCTGTATAACTACTATCACATTTCACGAATTCCCCATCCACTCTTCCATCCGCCTGTCCATAGACTTTACATTGACACCGTTTCGTTGTCGCTGATTTCATTGCATTCACATTGTTAGAAGCATGGCCCCTTTCTATCGTCGTCTCGTTTCCCTGGAGTTTGTTCCCATAATCATCCATGTCATTCATACGCGTTCGCGTAGTTTCCAAAGCCCCTATGGCGCAATGTACAACCAAAGAATAAACATTCGTATATAACCCCCTCTCATGCCATGCCGAGTGATAAGTGTCGTCATCGCATATTGATATATTGCGATGATACATGAACGCCAATGACTTGGTCATCGATTTAACGTTTGTGGCATGCTCGCAGCGAGAAGGATTGGCACGACACACTGGGAGATCCCAGGGGCTGAAACTTAATCCAACACGGGAATGACTATGGCATGCACACTATGTAGAGATGTCACAGGGGTGTAGATAACCTGACTCTTCGGCCGCATGGCATTCGGATTCAAGAGGGCAGGCCGTCGGAACTCCTTCGAACAAACAAATGGATCAACGGCACACTTATCTGGTGCCCATGAACCTCCGCGGTCCATTCATTGTTCAGGCCTGGAAGTGGACGGAACTGACACATGTCTAAATCTCCGTTGGATAACGAACTGCCTTGTGCGACCGGCTCGGTCTTAGAGGCAAGCTTTGAACGGGTTGTGTGTACTTCTTGAGCCAATGCGGACTTAAGAGGTAGATGAAGGCCGTGGTACACCGTCGGGTGTCTGTTCCTGACCCTCAAATTCAGATCTTGCATTAGCACCTCTCTGATTCAGACAGGTTGGTTCCTGGAGCGGTTCTGCTGCAAGGACACGGACAATCCGGCGATGTCGATCTGGGGTATTAAGTGTAGGTATTCACTCAGTACGAACCCAAGTCGGCCGATAAGTGGTGCTATTGTCCCGTGCAACCTCTCCTGTTTGTGAGGATCACCTAAATCGGTAGGCCTGAAGTCAAGTGCCGTATCCTGTCGTATGCACAGGGTGCAGCACATCGAGAGCATATAAATCTGTAAACGTGGTTAGTATAATTCAGTTGCGACAGTCATGATAGCTCACTAACGGGGACCCACACGTGTGGACACGTAGCTAATGCCAGCAACGAAGCCGTTAGCATAGCGGAAATATCGGCTCCAGAATCCGCAAACGCGGTCACGCGGAGGGTTGGCGCCAAGGCGTTCCTGCGACTGGTGTGGTTGCATGTAGACCGCCGACCGAGTCGAACGTTGACACGTCTTCAAGAATGCCAACGAGACTTGCGTGCCAGAGGTGGTCCGTAGCTAGTAGGAGGGCTCGTAAATGAGGAGAAACATGCAGTAGCCCGCTGTTCAGAGCAGGCTATCTTTGCTCTATGAAGCCGTTATCTCTTGCTCCGTGAATCTGTTCGTGATTCCGCCGCTATCGAGTTAGTCTGCATTTTATTTTCCTAGTCGGACAGAGCGTACGGCTTCGCTTCAGGCTTGAGGCTAGCAAACAGTACAGAGACGCGGAGCCTAGCTGACACAGGTGACGTACGAGTGAACCGAATAGTGCCCTAGGGTAGGCCTGTCTGCGGAAGGGCGACAATAACGATCTAAAGCACGTACAGTAGCGAGCTATCATGGACAGTCATCGCGGCACCACTAGCCAATCTTCATTCGCACCGATGACGAGAAATGCAGGACAGTTCTCGTAACTTGGTGCGTATGAAGACTGACCGGTGTACCTGAGCTGGTCCACCGCCATCTGACGTGCGCATCCTGTCCGCAGAGAGCTCTTGTTCACTGTGGATGATGCTTGGCATCGCATCTTGACGTCCGAACCGAAAGGCATAGCAGGGTACATCCTCGGAACTCCCACAAGCAAGGCCCGCCCAGCCGTATCCGTCCCGGCCAGAGTTGTGGGGATGAAGAAGCTTGATGATACAGTAGTCTGAAAGGAGGGACGGGGTCTATATGCACTCTTGATGACGAGCTCTGTTACGACAGCGCGTGTGAACCTGTGCGCACAACATATGCGTTCATCGATAGAGGTGTTGAACTGGTCTGGGGTAGGCGAAGACAAAGACCTGCGGAGAAGCATGCAATATTGATAAGTAGCATCAACTGGTTGAATGGACTGTATGCGTACTATTTCAATATACGAAGGCGCAT